GGGTGCAGATGAATGCGGGTTGGGTGCGGGACGGGTCTGAACATTCTTCTAAAAACTAAAAGCGGTTGCGGGGCGGTTGCGAGTTAAAAATCATGTGAGGCGGGTTCTTCCATTTCAAGCAAATTTGCCACTGAGTATATAGACTGTCGAAGCATTTCTTCTTATACTTTTCTTTAAAATGAGATTTTGGATGTTTAATAGTTGAAGGTCGTGGTTATAATATTAACTGGAAAAATTTGAATTTTCTTTTCCTATTTAATTTTTTTTTTCATTCATGTTTTTTTCCCTCCCTTTTTCGTTTTGAAATAAAGCTGTTGCTGTTAACTAAAAGAGCAATAAGAAAAAACAAAGTCAATCCAGTAGCCAAATCTATGAAGAGGTGGTTTGGTCATGTAAAGAGGAGGAGTACAGACGCTCCGGTGAGGAGGTATGAGAGGTTGACATTGCAGGGCCTACGGAGAGATAGAGGTAGGCCAAAGAAGAGGGTGGAAAAGTGATTAGGCAAGACATAGCGCAACTTCAGCTGACCGAGGACATCACCCTTGATAGGAAGATATGGAGGTCGAGGATTAGGATAGTAGAGTAGGTAGTCTAGAGTGTTCATAACAGTAGTATTGGCATGCAGTCTCGCTTTCTATTGGTAGTAGGTTTTTAAGAGTAGCCGTTATTTTCTTTCATTGTTGATCACTTTACTGTCTTGTTGTTTCTATTCTTCTTGGCCCTTCTTGTGTATTTTTTCATTAATGTGGTGCTATGCTTTCCTGAGCCGAGGGTCTATTGAAAACAACCTCTCTGTCCTTACAAGGTAGGGGTAAGGTCTGCATACACACTACCCTTCCCAAACCCCATGGTGTGGGATAATACTGGGTATGTTATTATTGTTGTAATCTAGTAGCCAAATCTGAAAGTATGATTTTTTATTAAGATTAAATAATAATATATAATTAGCATAGTTAAGATATCAGTTCAATGAGCAAAAAATAGATAAGAAGATTTGGTAATTGACCTAAATTAGCAAACTTCAGTAAATTAGAGTTGCACAAAACTAAATTTTTTTGAGGAAACAGAGAGCTTATAGAAGAAAATGAAAGATTTTTATTAGGTGGGACGGGTTGAAAATAAAAAATTTTGCCATGCGGTGCGGGGCAGAACGGGTTGAATCTAAACCTGGCCTGTAACAGCCCGCCCCGCCCCACTGCCATCTCTAGCTTGAGGATTATGGTTGAATTTGAAGTACATGTTTCACCTTTTTAACAATGTCAAACACACTTTTACGTTGAGCACTATATATTTTTTTTTATCTTGGTTGCAATACGAACTCAATTTGCTTTCCTTTTACGCAGAACTTTTCAACTCTGTGAATCTTTCTTTTCATAGTCTATTATTAGGTTTTTGGATATACATTGGATTTGATATGATTATGATGAGATGTACACTAAGCATGCAGATCACAAACTGGATCATCTTTGATTAATAATAATATTGTGCAATAAAAATTTAGGCCTCTATTACTATTTTTTGTTAAGGTTTTACCCCTTAACTTTGCTTTAAAAATTAAGCGTCCCCGTCAACTTTGAGAAATAGACATTCTACCGTGCATATGTCAATTGAATATTTTAAATACCTATTTTACCTTTATATTATTTACTTTTTTTCTTATTTATTTAAGATCACGATATTTTAAATGAGATAAAATCTACAGGACTTGAAAAAAAAATATGAATGAAAAATATTCATATTAAATAAATCACGTAAAGTATAGAGGTCTTAATCATATGATTTTTTTCCCCTTTTGCAATTCTCAAACAGTCCAGGTTCTTGCGTGAAGACAACTAGACAAGACAAAATTATATGATGAGAATGATATTATGGACACAATTACTCTAGTCATCATCGATTCGACACAAGATTAGTACTACTACCGATTTGCATTTGTGGATTACATCTGTGTGGGTTCCTTTTAATTAGAATAAAAAAACAATGGATTTACTTGATCTCATTCTTAATAGGACGCTGATTAAATATTGAGCCACTATCTTATATAGCTAGCCATGTACAAAACCCTACAGCTTTCGGTTCATTCTTTTTTTTTTTTCACGATATATGATACTTACTTGAGACTCGATTAATTCAGATTCGTGCAAAGAAATTCTACTCTAGTAGGTAAAACGCTAGCTATAAAAGATAGTTCTATATCCAGAGTTCGAATTCGAGACATCTGATTAAGGATAACGGATAACTTACCACTCCACCACAACTTTGGGTGGTCTATCTTTCTTTTTTCTTTCTTTCTTTTTTAATTAGTGGTTTGTCATCTCAATTATCTTTCTCTCTATATTTGGAATTTTTGTTCCACTCAACACAAGATGTAACTTTCTCCGTCTTATCTTCTTTTTGCTACATAAAATTTATGAGTCGTTGTCTATTTTGGCCTTTTTACAATGCAAAACTAGCTAAGAGGTTTCTTCAAAGGGAAGTACAGAACCTTATCAACAGGATCAACTGAGATAGCAAACCTAACATGCATACGTAGTGTTGTTGTGGGATATATGAGATTTCGAGAATTTTCTAATAGAAAGTATTTTTCTTTTATGAGGTCCTTGTTAGGATAAAGATTGAGCAGAAATCAGGGAATAAATGCATAGAAAACCCTATCTGCCATGAGAGAAGATAGACGAAGAGAGAGAAAATTTTATTCAATCTTGTGTTCAATATTTCTGACTAACTAAAAATATATGAGTAACCCACCTATATACAATCGTGGACCGGGTCTACATATACAGGGTAACAAATACAAAATAAAACTGGGCTAACTACAATTTGGGCCTAAAATAAAAATGGGCCTAATTCTGTGATATCCAACACCCCATCCCCCTCCCCCCCTCAAGCTCGAAGGGGAAGCACTCCAAGCTTGCACAACAGATTGTGATGAGCTGGACCTGGAAGAGGCTTCGTCAAAATGTCAGCAAGATTAGTAGATGAGAAAACATGATGTAAAGAAATCAATCCAGATGCTAAGCAATCACGAACAAAATGGCAATCAATTTCAATATATTTGGTGCGCTCATGGAACACAGGATTCTTGGCAATATGGAGCGCAGCCTGACTATCACAAAATATAGGAACAGGAGAAGACAATGTCAGGCCCAAATCAACCAACACTCTGATCAACCAAGAGACTTCAACAACCACCTTCCTTAGAGCCCTATATTCTGCCTCAGCAGAAGAAAGAGAAATGGTTGGTTGCTTTTTGCTTTTTCAAGAAATAGGGGATCCTCGAAGAGTAATGAAATACCCAGTGACAGACCTTCTAGATTGGGCACAGGCAGCCCAATCATAATCAGAAAAAGCTACCAGAGACAGGTCAGTATTCTTAGACAACAGAATGCCCTGACCAGGTGCATTCATAAGGTACCTCAGCACATGAATTCAAACTAACATATGGGGAACTTGGGGAGATTGAAGAAACTGACTCAGATGCTGGACAGAAAAAACAATGTCAGGTCTTGTGCGCTGAAGAAAATTCAGTTTCCCTACAAGCCTTCTGAAAGTGCTTGGATCAGATATAGGGGCACCCATATCACTGATTAATTTTATGGAAGGATCCAAAGGGGTAACTACAGGGGTAAAATGAGTGCAATTAAATTCAGCCAGCAGCTCGGAAGTGAATTTGTGTTGGCACATCAGAAAACCCTCAGGATGAGAAGACACTTCTAGACCTAGAAAATAGTGGACCTCACCCAAATCTTTAATCTTAAACTGAGCATCCAGAAATGTCTTCAAACTATCCAATTCTGTGATATGATCACCAGCCAACAAAATATTATCAACATAAACTGCTAATACAGTTAGGGAAGAGCTAACATACTTGGTAAAAAGAGAATAATCATTCTTGCTTGAAATGTAGCCTCTAGATGACAATGCTTCAGACAATTTAGAAAATCATTGTCTGGAAGTTTGTTTGAGGCCATAAAGTGATTTCTTGAGTTTGCAAACCAAAGGAGAAGAAGAATCAGAAGATGATGGACCTGATACAGATAAACCTAGAGGGACTTTCATGTAAACCTCCTCATGGAGATCACCATAGAGGAAATCATTGTTAACATCAAGTTGATGCACATTCCATCCCTTTTTTGCAGCAAGAGAAAGGAGACACTTGATGGTGGTAAATTTGACCACAGGAGAGAAAGTTTCAAAATAATCAATTCCCTCCTTTTGAGTGTCTCTCATTATTACAAGCCTGGCTTTATATCTCTCCACAGTCCCATCAGATTTTTGTTTGATCTTATAAACCCATTTGCATGGGATAGGCTTCTTGTTGAGAGGAAGAGGAATAATATCCCATGTGTTATTTGCCTCAAGAGCTTTGAATTCCTGTAGCATGGCATGCTGCCAAACAGGGTGAGAAACAGCTTGCTGGTAAAACTGAGGTTCATGCAGTGACACATTAGTAGAGGAAACTTGGGTTGAGTAGAGAGAGGAACTGAAGGAAGGGCAGAATTGCACACATAATATGCCAAATGAGCAGGAGGTTGATGAACTATGGTGGACTTCCTAAGGAGGGGAGAAGAAGGAACTGGTAAAGGAGAAGAAGTAGATGGAAAGGAGAAAATTGGAGAAATGGAAGGAGAGGGGGGAGAGATAGTAGGAGGAGTGAAATAAGGAGTGGGTTCAGATGTGAAACCATGTGTGGGAGAAGAAGAAAGTATAGGATAGGATGAAGCAGGAATATCTATAGAATCCGAAAAAGATACAGGGAAAACAGAGGAAGAAAGAGAGGAAGAATAGGAAAAAATAGATTCATGAAATTGTACATCCCTTGAGAAAAAAATAGAATGGTTGGAGAGGTTAAGTAGTTTATAACCTTTCTTGTCACATGGGTATCCTAGAAAAACAGATGCAATTTCCCTTGAGTGAAACTTATCTCTACCAGGTTTGGGTGTAGTAGCAAAACAAAGGCATCCAAAAGATCTCAAATGATCATAAGAGGGTGGTGTGCCATGTAGTTTTTCAAAAAGAGATGCATTGCCTAAAATAGAAGAAGGTAGTCTATTAATTAGGTAGTTAGCAGTGAGAACACAATCACCCCAATATTTAGTAGGAAGATTGGACTGGAACAATAAAGCTCTAGAAGTTTCTAACAAATGCTTATGTTTTCTTTCAACAACTCCATTTTGTTGGGGGGGGAGGGGGGAGGGGTATGTGGTATAGTGGTCTGGTGGAGGATGCTATTATCAGCAATGAAGGTCTTTGCTTCAATACTACTGCCTAATTCATATGCATTGTCTGATCTAAAGAATTGAATAGAGCAATTAAAGTGAACCTTAACCATGGAAGTGAAGGTTTTCAGAATAGACAAAGCACTAGCTTTACAGGAAAATAAATGAGTCCAGGTAACTCTAGTAAAATCATCAACTAGAGTGAGAAAATAACTGAAACCATTGTAGGTTTTAGTATGGTAAGGTCCCCATACGTCAATATGTACTAACTAGAAAAGGGCAGTGGTTTTGATAGTACTGTCTGAGAATGGCAATCTTTGTTGCCTAGCCATGGGGCAAATAGTACATAAGAAATGTTGTTTAGATGTGATTTTATCAGAAAGGAAAGGAATTGAAGTCATTCTATTGTAGGGCATATGCCCTAACCTTTTATGCCAGACAAAATCCATTTTATTAATAGTAGAAATTGGAATACAAGAGGGACAATAGGGGTAAGGGATCAACAGAAATATTACAAGCATTACTAGAATCAACAGAAGAATCATGGACAGAAAGTAAAGGTATGTCTGGCAGTAGAAAATACAATCAATGAGCCTCTTTACCAATTTTCAATGGCCTATTCAGAGAAGGGCCCTGTAAAGAACAAGAAAAACTAATAAATATGGCCATATACTGTAATTGAGTTAGAAGTTTGTGTACAGAAAGAAGGTTGAATTGAAAAGAAGGGACTAAAAGGACATTATGCAGAATTATCATGTCTAAGGTACATAGAACCAATAGAAATGACTTTCACTTTATATCCATTTGGCAAGGTTATTAAGAAAAGAGAAGTTAAAGGTTGAATATTGTGAAGAAAATATTTGTATCGAGTCATGTGGTTTGTTGCACCAGAATCCAGGATCCAAGGTTTTCTAACTGAATTAAAAGATGCAGACAAAGAATGAGCTAAAGAATGCATTTTCTCTACTGGAAGATATGACACACTTGCAAAATGAGCATATCCACCACGGTCTGCAGCAGCACTAGCAGGAGTATAGTTGGGAGAAATATGTGTCTGTTGGAGTAAGGCCATGAGATGGTTGTACTGTTCTTTGTTGAACCCATGAACTGGAGCCTCAGATGTTTTGAAAACAGCAGGAGAGTAAGATGATTTCTCCATTTGGACACATGAAGCAGATCTCTTGTTCTTTGCGAACTTGAAATCAGGAGGAAATCCATGAAGTCTGTAACACTTCTCTATGGTGTGGCCACTTTTCTTATAATACTTGCAAGACACAGTAGCAGATGCTGAAGGCTTCTTGGATTCAAAAGTGACTCTCTGAGTGTATTGTTTATTAGGGTGAAGTTGAGTTGATGGGACAGAGAAAGATGCTGAATCAGTTGAAAACCTAGGAGAGACAGGATGAGTCTCTTTCTGACTCTCATCTTCTTGTAGAAGAGAATAAGCCTTACTGATTGAAGGGTATAGGGACATCATAAAGATGCTACTTTTAGCTGTTGAGTAGGAATCATTCAGTCCACTTAGGAACTGAAAGAGATATTGATCTTCAATGAACTTTGGCAAGGCACCACATGAACATGTGGGCCCAACATATACAGATTTCAATTCATCCTACAGACTTCTAATCTTAGTAAAGTAGGTGACTATATCAGAAGACCCTTGAAAGGTAGAACTGATCTCCCGTTGGAATTGAATATACTTAGACCCATTAGACTGCCCAAACCTTTCATTTATGTCCATCCATACTTCCTTGGCAGTACTAAGACACATAACACTTATAGCAATCTCTCTAATTAGTGAGTTAGTAATCCAGGCCTTGACCATATTGTTGCACCTTTCCCAGAAAGGAAAATAGGGAGAATCAAGTGCAGGTTGGGCTACTTTGCCAGTGATTAGTCCTACTTTGTTCTTAGTTGAGAGAGATGTTAGCATACTACTGCGCCATATAACAAAACTAGTTCCATTGAAAGGAACTGTAACCAGCTGAACACCAAGACTATCAGAAGGATGTATGTATAAAGGATGAGATGGATCTAGGGTAAATGCAGTGAAACCATCAAAATTTGACGGTATATTTGCATGCAACTCAGTATTTTCCATATTATTACTCATTACAACAGAGATGTTGAATAACAGCAGGAGAAAATAGCAAATGTAGAAACTTTGTCGAGAAATAAGAACCGATGAGTCAAATATCAACCAACACAGCAAAAAAAATCGAACTCAGAAAACCCTAATATGCGATTATGTGCACTGAAAATAAAATTGTACTGATCTTCTTCGCAACCTGAAGAAGTAAGGCCTTCATACATCAATACTTGAAGAGATGAAAGCGAATCGCCTAGAAATCCCCAAATTTTACCATGTTAGGATGAAAATTGAGCAGAAATTAGGGAACAAATGCATAGAAAACCCCATCTGCCATGAGAGAAGATAGACGAAGAGAGAGAAAATTTTATTCAATTTTGTGTTCAATATTTCTGACTAACTAAAAATATATGAGTAACCCACCTATATACAACCGTGGTCCGGGTCTACATATACATGGTAATAAATACAAAACAAAACTGGGCTAACTACAATTTGGGCCTAAAATAAAAATGGGCCCAATTCTGTGATATCCAACAGTCCTACACAACAAAAATCAAAAGTAGTCAGGCTAGCGAGCTAGCTCCGAATAGGTACACAAAAAAGGAGGAGATTTATTTCTCATGGTTTGCCCTAACATTACTCTCTCCGTCCTAATTTATGTAATTATAATTACTAGTATTATTCACTTCGTCCAATTTTTATGATTATGATTAAAAGTTGAAGAATATACTATTATGACTTCTCTTATCTCATATATATTTATGCATAACATTTTTAACGTACAATGTTTAGAAGTTGGATAAGGTGTAAGATTATGATTAGATGAACAAAAAGAAACATTACATAACTAATGCCCGTCTCCATAATATTGGTTCTCCGAATTATGTATGTATTTGTTTCTTATATACAGTTGTTATGTATATACAGTTGTTATTTTCCTTCAACAAATATCGTTATCTTTTAACCTGAACAATGTCAATGAGTTTAACTCATAGGCTTATATCTTAAGTTATGAGTGATCGATTAAATAGGCTTATGTCTTAAGTTGGTGACTTTCATTACAACGGGAAGGGGTTTTCACTTCGACAAGTTTTTGTTGGTGATCATTTGAAGCCCACCAACCACTAAATATGTACTTTTTAAAGCATTGACCGAAAGTTGACTTTAACTTAATTTCTCGAAATATTTCTAGCGTTCAATTACATGTTCGCTTCTACCAAAGTTGCAACGTCTGAATTTCACGTGTAATTTCGGTATCCGTCTAAGACAAACCCAACTGATTGAATCTGAAACAACTTTTTTCTGGTTAATTGGGCAAATCCTTACGAATGGCCCTATATGCAAAAAGCCATTTGTTATTTGAGTGGTTGAACGTCTCAACAAGATTTTGACTCAACCTACATAAGATCGATCTTCTTCATGACACAAAAAGGAAGTTCATTAATAGCATACAAAAACGTAAAACAAAGAAAGGACGACGACTTCTTCATGACATAACAAGAATTTTGGAAGAAAAGAATAAAATATATTCCGTTGCCGGGACTTGAACCCGGGTCTCTCGGGTGAGAGCCGAGTATCCTGACCAACTAGACTACAACGGATTGTTGAAGGATTTGACGATTAGTAGATATTATATTAATATTAAGATACGAGAAAAAACTTGACCAAACCCGACACACGCATCAAAATAATAAGCGCGTGTTAAACTAAACGAAAGAGTGTAAAACTAGACCCGGCGACACGTACAGATTTAAGATTTAAATTTTAGAGGTTCGGCGACCAATTGAATTACTAGGTTTAAAATATAATATTTGTTACAAATATATAGTTAGACTTCTTAATAAATATACGCATTATAAGTCGAATTTATTGAGTTTGACTGAACCCATATTAAGTACAATACATCATCCTCTGGCGATAGTCTTGTCCATAAGTCTCATTCAAGCAACATTAGTGCAAGCAGTGGCGGACGCATATGCCCGCTTCGTCAAAAAATAATACTGTGTATATGTATAAATTACGATTAAAGCTGCATAAATTTTGTTTAAATATTTTATTTGAACCTACTTGACAACTATTATTTTACGACTAAAGTTATGTACTTCTAAGATTGAACCCGCTTGTATAAAATCCTGGGTCCGCCACTGAATCCAAGCAAAATGAGGTTATTATGAATCAAGTATAAGCCATGCTGCAGATTTTACATCTCAAGCAATTGTAGCTTAATTTAATTATTCTTAAGGATTTTTTAACCAAAATATAAATCTTCATCGAACAGTATAGATTCCAACAGAACTCAAGTAGAAAACTGCCACAATAACAAGTATCTCTGTCCCTTGGATCATTGCTAGGATAATTAGCTACGGTTCTGATTTAGAAATATCTAACAAATACTAGTTGTAATGTGTTCAAGTGGAAGAATCCACTGTAAATTAATCGTAAAATGCTCCATCAAGTCTAAATAAAATAGCTTATATTACTCTCATTTCGTTTAATCCAAAGAGTTTATGCAACATTTCATTGCATTATTTGCAATATCACCTAGCTAGAATGAAGTATTTTCTTTCTGATTTTCAAAACGGAAATTACTTTCCTGTAAGCACTGATTTTTCCACAATATGGATTTTAGTCGATTCATTTAATTTTTCTTGATCATATTTTCAATAAAAGTGTATATGCTTGTGCACTGGGGCGGATTTAGGGGTGGAAGGTGTACCTGAACCCCCTTCGCCGAAAAATTACACGGTATATATAAGGCAAAATCTGTTTTTTACCTCTATATATTAAGTTTTGAACGCCCTTGACACAACCCAAAAGTGTAGCTTAGTGGTCAAGCGGGTTCAAAATCTTTGAAAGCTTATTGGTTCAATTCTCACTAGCTACAATTTGTGTTTTTTGAACTCCCTTTGCAGGAGATCCTGCACTGCTTGTTCATGGTACTTGCTTGATCTGTTTTCAGTATTATTATACTGAGGTAAGACAATAAGCTTTATATTCAGATGAGGCCTACCGTTTTAAGCCTCTGCAGCTTTTGCCAAGCAGGGGTGGAGGAAAGATTGAAAACAGAGGTTCAAAAAATGCTAAATGTCAAGCTTGAAGTCAAAGCCATATACCTGTATGTATTTAGGATGTTACGCAACATGTCCCCTCTTTTATGTATTTATTTTTTTTGGAAATTAATATACAATGTAGGAATGTCAATCCCCCGCCACCACAAGGCGGCTTTACAAAAAAAAAACTCATAACTTAAAACATTTCTGAACGCCCTTGTTTATGTTAATGGGATTCAACAATCGATATAATTTACATAAAAAAGGTTCACTTATGCCGCACAGTGTTATTTTCAGGCAAAGGAGATCTAATTAATCATCTTTGGACCCAGTGCTGCTCGGTGTTCAAGTAGCGTGATGCCATATAACGTGCCGTACAAAATTTGCAAGAGTTACATACAATCACTCTGTTTCAACAAACTTCTTATTGAAAATATTACTATAAATTTAGTTATAAACTGGTCTAAAACTCATTCATGAGCTTGAGATTTGAAAGGCTTGTATGCCTTGAGATCCTGAGAAAGACCCTGTATGGATCCAGCTGCTGCAACAAGTGACACAATTAAGCAACCCCAGCTTAGTATTTGCAGCCATATCCAAGTGAATGAATACTTTGGAATTTTCCTCTGAGCAATGTGCATTTCTATAGGCAAGTAGACAGTTAATGGATAAAAAGAAGCTGCCCCAATTAAGCCCAAGAAGTGATTGAAGAATGGAAATATCATGGCAATTACTGCTGTTACTATAACATATGCTGTCCTCCACAACAACCTGAAAAAGTTTACATAGTAAACATGACCAGAAAATGGAATGTTTATGGCATGTTGAGAAGTGATGAATTTGTTGTCTGGCCATCGTTCACTACAACGACCCTCCACAAAGCCATATATTGGTTGGCAGAAAACCTGAGAAAGACAATGTATATTTGAGCGATGAGTTTAACATTTATACATTGTGTAAAAGAAAAGTTTTCACTCGTAGGTGACGTAAAAGATAATAATAGGTAAATGTTTATAATAAGTGTAGTTCTGTACAGTGATAGTGTACTATAGGTTTTTACATCATCAGGTAAAATTATACCTAAATAATAATAATAATAATAATAATAATAATAATAATAATAATAATAATAATAAGTGAAATTCCGTATAATGATAGTGTACTACTGGTTTTTAGATTATCAGGTAAAAATACAACATCATGTAACTCTTAATATCAAGTTTAATATGATAAGAAAATAGTGAAAGAAATTGATATATAACTAATTAACTTGCCGTGATAATGTAATATTCTCTATATTTTATATAACTTGAATTCTAAACAGGTTTTGTTTCTTGAAAAATAAAACAGACAACTTGCTAAAACAACTTAAGTTACACATAGAGTGTTAAATTAAGTCTTTACACTTCCTAAATATATAGTAAAATCATATCATTATAGTGGACAATAGTACATCAATGTCTTCGAAATTGTGTTATAGATGAAATATTATGTCACAGTAGACAAATTATATATCTACTAGTACTAGAATGAAATGAGTCTTAATAGCACGGAATGAATATATATGATTTATATAGTTGACTCTAACTTTTACCTGGTAAGCTCCAACCAGGTGGACGGCGATGCAAACGTTAGCGAAGTCAATTAGCCAAAAGGGTTCATAGAAACCAAATCCAGTGAGGAAATTTCCAGGAGCATCGTTTCCAAAGGCTGCATAGCCAATGGTACCACATAGTACATAGAATAAGGTTGTGGTAAACACTCCGACAAGTGATGCTCTTTTCATAACCTTGTTCTCTGCAGGTGGTGATCTCAATGTATCCTGCAAATTGCCAAGTTGGTTAAGCAATTATTTCTCAGATATAATATATTGCACAATCATATCCCAGAAAAGACCCCAATTTCGTAAAATCTCTGTGACAGTTTAAAATTTTCATCCATATATAGGTTTTTCCCCTTCAAAGGTCGTTACAGTTGTGATGGCTGTTAGATCTAGACCCCTACCAGTGCATAAATATCACAGCGAAACATTAAATGGAGAAAATAACTTAATATAATATGTTGAATTACACTAAAAAAAAATCGATGCATGAATGCTTTTGTGTTCATGCAATTTCAAAGAAGATTGTAAAAGAAATTCATTATGTTGTTGATATATATCTTAATTTCTAAATAAAAAGGATAAAATTAAAATTAAAAAGTAAAGCAAATATATTAATTAATGAGTGAGAAAATTATCATAATTTATGAACTTATTGGTATAAAATAACCTCAATCAAATAACCAAAAAATCTTATAATTAATACTTTTCTTATACTACCAATAGTTGTGTTCGGTTATATAATCGTCAAATATCTTTCCTCTTTTTTTTTTTTTTTAATTTAAAAATGTTGAGGTTTTATTTTTAAGATGTAATATTCTTAAAATGAGGATGAATGGGAAATGGAGGAAAAATGAAA